CAGGGATGGCAAAATGCGGAAACCCAGCAGGGCACGTACCATGTCGCCAAAGTGGTGCTGAACATTAAGCGTTGCCTGCCCACGTGGTGTCTCCTTTCCTGATCGCATTCACGCCTGCCTTGCATTGGGACCAACAAGATAATGCACCCTGACTTCCATTGCACCAGCATGTGGAGCCACAAGACTCCTGCGGGTCATGGTTCAAGCTCTGAATTCCAAGTTTTCTTTGATATCGTGGAATCTGCTATGGAAGCAGTGTCTTCAGCAGGAACAGTTGGCGTCCAGCTAAATTGGCCTGCTGTCATCAATGCCTGCTCAAATTGATGCACACAGCGAATCAACATGTGCAAGGATGCACACAAAGGCACCCAAGATCTGCGCATCTTCCATGGCGTAAGCTCGCCATACATGCAGGGCAGAACATGCCAGATGCAGCATGTCTGTCGTTGCACGCTCATCACCAACGCTTATCACCAATGCTCATCAACAGCAACAAAATGGAAACTCCACGGCGATTCGGGTGTGAAATGGCTCAGAAACGGACCCCTGTTGGTCTACAGTCGTCGTGCCAGAGGTACTTGGTCACTCTGACTAATGCTGCATGCAGCTGTCACAAGACAATCTTCTGGCACAACAACTCATTGGCCTTCTAGAATCAAAGTCAAAACCTGGTATCGCTGATGTATCAGGACAGATGGGCAGTGCTTCATCCCGAACAGGGCAGTCTGCCTTGATCCACAATGCTTCAGCAGCAGCCATGCATTGCAGTAAGAGGGTAAGCTCATAAAAAATACAAGCTCTCACACAAAGAATGGAATGAACGCATTTGTACAGGTTTCACAAGCACTCTGCAGTTCCCGCTCCCTTGGTATGAAAGTTCCAATCCCCAGCGGCGTCCAGTCCCTCCCCTATTCCCCCATCCCCCTCCACAACTCCCCAATAGGCCCGCCGATCGTCAACATGGTCCTTCATCTATTATCTGCATGGTGGGAAGTAGTGACCATTGATGTGGCACCCATGCTGGATGCTCCTCTGCACTTGAGCCTCAAACTGCTTTTCGCTGCTGACCATCATCTCTGCAGCCTCCTTGTTGAGAGGGTCCTCAGGGTTTGGGTCCTGCCATGGAGACCACACACAACATAATCATCACAACACTCTTGCATGGTTGTGGCACAACAAGCGCCACAAGCTGAGTTCTTGGAATAGGACAGGCAAGCTGCTTCACTCTGACAGGAATTGCAGCGGTGACAAACGACAGTGCCTTATGACACCACAGGACCGCTGTTCACTCCGCATGGCTCGTTGCCAAGCATCTTCTGCAAACTCCAACTGTTGAAGAGCTGCATCTGAGAAGTGTCTGGACAACTGGCTTGTGTCACTATGCACGAAACAATCCAAGCCACGCAGTTTTGTTCCTGCGATATGTAGCGAATCAGATCCAGGCCACCACATTTGTTGGTGCTGCTGATAATTGAAGACGGCGCATTGCTCACACTATTGAAGCCATGATCTCCTAGGTGGAGAGAAACTGAAGCGAGTTCGAATCAATGTGCAGGTGCCCACAACTCACCATGAAGAGGAACTGAAGCCCATAAACGATGGTGGAGACACTGAGCACTGGCTTCCAGTCTTCTCGCAAAATGTTGAGGCACACATTCCCTTCAAGATCGATGTTGGGATGGAAGACCTGTACAGCAACGCATTTTAACAACAGCCAGGCAGATGTAGGTACAGATGGGCAGTCAACATCAACACAGCATCAAAGTGTTGACAAGTGGGGGGGCGAAATTTGAGCAACAGAGCATATCACGGCTACAGAACAATGCAGCAAAGGGTGCACGTGGCAGTTTGCCGCTCCATCCGGTCACCTTTGTTTTGCACTTGACTTTGGGCGCCTCATACGGATAATTGTGCGAGATGTTGAAAGAGAAAAGGAACTGTCCGCCTCTGCAAAGCATGGCAAAGAAGCCCACTGCATCAGACGCCGCCATCCCCGAGAAACGCCAAAGAGCAGAAAGAGGGCGCGACGACGGCAGAGCTGCTGGCTCACCGGTGGTACCCTTCGTTCGGCCTCAGGGCGATCTCGAAATGGAAAATCTTGTCTTTGCCCTCCGGGAAGACAATCGACGTGTTGGAGGGGAGGTTCAGCTCCGACATATCTGCGATCAGGGCACACGGAGTCACAGACAGCCCAGCGGCCATCCCCTGCCGCGCCCACCTGCCCCACAGCTCCCACAGCAGAAAAGCGGCACCCTGGCCCACACCTTTCTGCAGCCTGATTTCCGCCGCCAGCCCTGGCTTGATGCCCTGGCTCTTCTCCTCCTGCTGCTTTTTCTGCGAGAGAGCCGCCCAGAGCTGATCACCTCCCCGCACAACCCGCCACCAACATGAACGCCGCGCCATGGACTCTCGGCGGCAATCGCGGCGCGCACCTTGACGGACATAAGATTCAACATCTTGACCGGTGCTCCCCTTCAAAGGGCTGGGTAGGGGCGCCGAAGGCTCCGGTGCGGCGACCTGCTGTGCGAGCCGAAGACTGCCCGGCACGGATGGGACCCCGCTGGGAAGGTGTTGAAGTCATTGAAGTCCCCACCAAAGCCGGTGAAACAGACGACACGTCACACCCCACGTGGCCTCAACGGCTTCCCTTGGATTCCATGCGGCTCATGAAGAGTCGTGCGACTGGGGCGCACGTCTTCTGCTTCCCGCGTTGGCGGCGTTGGGATCGGCGCCCAGCCGCCACCCCGGCGTCACCCGGTCTCTTTCACTGTCTCTGTGCCAGACCCCATGCTGCAATCTTGGTCGCAACCCTGCCAGGGGCCATTCACTGACTTCTGTTTCTCCATGAGCATTTGTCTGTTCAGGGACCTTTACGACGACTCGTGCCCCACATGAAGCGGGGCATTTGTGATGTGCTAGGCTCAAGAAGTCGAGACTTTGGTTGCCTGGCTGTTCGACGATGAGAGCACTCTCGTGGCAAGAGACCTGAGGGCCCTCCCATCAGCCAGGCGGTGGATGCTGAACTCTGCGAACTCAGACCCCAACGGCAATCTCCCTGTCGCATGATTGCGGGAACCCAGCGGGGGCTTGATTGGGTCACCATTTTTGCTAACTGCCGTGATTTCGGTGTTCGGGGCATTTGATGTCGTCTGGGCAAACAGGACGGCGAGAGCCTCAACAGCATAATCACAATGGCTGCCAAAGCAATCGGCACCGACTCAATTCAAACTGCGCAAAGGTCTCTCAAAGATGGGATAAGTGCAGTTGCAAGCTGCTGACTGTGTGTATCATTGCTCATTTTGATCCCGTCAGAATTCGCCATGAACACACCCCGTTCACTTGGCGATTCGTTTTGTTCCAGCACCATCAATGCAGTTGCACACCAGTGGAATGCGGGGGATTGGCTGGAGTCATTCGGGCTGTGCATCGTTTCTGTAGGCAGTTTTGAAGTGGCACAAAAATGGCCCGTTTCTTGTCCCCTGAGTGGAACAGCAGTTCCATTGGCCAGGGAGGAATTTACAAACTGATGCCTCACACCTATTCGCACTGTTTTGAAGGGTGAAACATCAAGTATACGTTGAGTGTGTTCTCCTGAAGCAACAGACACAGTCTTGTTTGGTCGCATCCTGATACCAAGGAATTTCCTTCTGGATACTGTTCAAGGGACGCATTGGAGTCGATGTGTGCTGCGGTTCCATTAACAACCTACCATGTCTAAGTGAGTGATGTGCCTTGTGACAATATGAAGCTGAAACGCAGGAAAGAACAGAGTGTTGTTGACAACAAATGTTGGCATTTGATGAGCATCGAACCCACCATCTGCTGATAGAAGACTATCACAAGGGGTTTACGGTGCACCTGATATCTGCCATGTCACCATCATCGCTGCAAGAACCGAGCACCCCAAGTCTGCACATGCAGTCGCGCTCCTGTGTGTCCTGTGCCCCTTGTCTTGTGGCTGCTCGTGCTTGTGCACCTTGACTTAAAAGAATTCAAGAAAGGAATTCAGGAAATGCAAGAATTTTGGGCATGTTGTCCTTGTTGTCTCTCAGCAGTTGCCTTTCCACCATCTTTGTGGGATTGCTTTCTGCGCTCCAAAGCATCGCTTTGCTGCACTTGTTGGACTTCAGCAGTTGATGGGACGGCTACACTGCTCCATGTCCGTGGGCGACGAGCAGCGAGGAGGAGCTGCCTGCACGGGATTGCAACCTTTTGATTGTGTTTGCACATGAGCTTCCTATGGCTTGCATGTGACGTACTTGTCACGACGCTGTATGCGGCTTGCTTGAGATGACGCCACTCGCATGCCCTCACTTGCAACAAATTGATTGTAAGGCAGCTGTTCTGAGTGTTTGCTGTTCTTGGACTGACGGAAAGAATGCTCGGGGTTCTAGGGAGGGTGTGGCTGTTGCATACATTTCGGAAGCATCACTTCGTCCCAGATGGAGCACTGAGCATCGGCGACCGTCGTGGTGCTGAAGACCGATGGGAAATTTAAGACATTGTGAACTCGAAACAGCGCACTTCCCAGTACACTTCCCCCGTGCTTTCCAACAGAACGTGCCACTCGGAGTTGCTCTTGTCGGCATTTGAAGCTTTGCCCACACAAGGCGGAACAGTGTGGCAACCTACTTGAGTGCAACCGTGATGCATGCTGTGGTTGCATGAGGGTGCATGACTGGAATATTCTGCGGACAGAATGGAGGCAGGACATGGGAAAACGAGAATGGGAATGAACAGATCACGGAAAGCGTGAAAGCGGGCATGTGCAGCTTAAGGAAGTTATTTGAGAAGTGGAACTCGTTGAAAACAAAACGCCCGGTGTGGGGCTCGAACCCACGACCACTAGGTTAAAAGCCTAGCGCTCTACCAACTGAGCTAACCGGGCGCGTTGGCCATAAGTTACAAAATGATTAAATTCTAATTCATAAATTGGCAGCTTTCACGCTTTGAAAGTGGCACTCGGAGAAGTGCCCAATCGATGTGTGTGCCCAAATGCGTACTATCTGGGGCAGCGGACATAGCTCCGCATTACCGGGATATATAACCCCGTGCATTTTCACTAAGCAGTTGATTCATTTTATGTGTCCCCAGAGGCGCTTCGGCAAAACGCGCTGCAACCAGACCGTCAGCATGTACATTTCGGGCAATGCGTGACATCATCAAAATTTGAAAAGTGACAAACAGTTGCGACATCCACTGTTGACATGTCAAAAATACATTTACCGAGTAGTTGTTGTTTCCATAACGCCCACCAAAACACGTGCTGCACCACCAAATGGTCTCATTGCTGGGCCAAACGAAAGGATGGAGCACAACCAACAGGTGCAGTGAACATCTGCGCCTCAGAAATACCCCAGACCGCCATCATCAGCGACGCATTCATCCCATGTCCCACGTGCAAGTGACCCACACGTGATGCGGCCATCATGCATAAACAGCGCTAAGTGGCTGGCTGGGCATCTTTTACCAATCTTTTGCCCTTGCCTGATGGTTGCAAGGTCCTAGGGATACACTATGGTGGATGGATGAATTGCCTGCAGTTCGTCCCTAGCAACAGCTCAGATGGTGCGAGAACTTTTGAAGAGACCAAACACTGCCACGTGTGCTGCCAGCCACAGGGAATCATTGTGGGCCACTGTTTTGGGAGGGGCCGCAGCGCTCCACAAACACGTCGTACAGCTGTTTCCCATTGAAGATGATCGGGAAGAAGTGGATCTGACCCTCTGGCTTGGTCTGGGTCTCCTGCGAGCAGGCAGAAGACAGCTCATGTCAGTGGGACTGTGGTCAAATCACTTTCGAGAGCCCTGCAGGCCTTCCAGTCAAGGAACAGTGTAGTTGACAACAGTCAAAGAGCAGCAGCAATCGCACAGGCCGTGGATTGAGCTCATCGGTGGGGCACGTGCCACAAGCCAGTTGCATCATGAAAAACCTTCTCCAAACCATGGAGAACTGGTCATGCATCCTCTCCTGAGCTAGGAAATTTTAGACTCTTCTCCATGACATGAACGAGTGCCAACAGGGCTCCACTCTAGCTGATGCTCCTCACCTTGAAATAGCACAATATGGGGAAGTTAGGCCACCAGAATTCCCAGTTCACGAAAGTGCTGAACTTCCAATTGTTGTCTCCTCCAATGATAGCATTCTCTGACACGTCTTCCTCCCCTCTCTTGAAAATAATCTCCATTAAAAACACACACACAGCCAAGTTAACGTGCATTGCAATGCTATGTTAGTCTGTCGCAAAAGCCTCAAAGATACCATTCAAACCAGCCACATACCCAGATGCAGATGGTATCTGTCGGTGGGGTCTCTCCAAAGGAGGGCCAATGCAACATTCGCACTTGGGATGCCACACTGATGTTCTGGGGTACTGTTGCCATCAACAGCAACGGTGCTGCAACTGCAGCTGCAGGTCATATGTTATTGACAGCAGGCAGTGAAGAACTGAGCCAGGTGCCTGGTGCATGGATGCTGATGAGCATGTAGGCTGCGGAAATAAGGCAGGCTGGGGTGGCAGCATCTACTCACCAATTCCTTTGTTGTGAACATGAACTTCAAGTTCGCTGCTTGATAGGCCAGGAGAAGGCCAAGTGCCCCTGTCACCGCAGCAAAGATGGGCTGCCCATTTTCAACACCAAGAACAGAAAGTACAAGCAGTCCAATCGGGACATTGTATGATGGCTCAGGAACCACAGTGCTCTCCTTGGTTTCGGCACTTGTCCGCTTGAGCGCATGAATTTCCACCTGCACCTGACGTACAGATAGGCAGCCCAGGCCGTCTCAGTTCCACCAAAGGGGGCATTTACACAGATGTGCAAGTGGCAAACAACAAACCCAAAACAACATTGACGTCTGGCACGCCATGAAGAGGCCTCCTCTGACATTGCTACACCCTGCTGTTGCTCCTGCTACCATATTACTTGCCATATATCTTGCTGTCATGTTCTCTTAAATCTTGGCTAATCCTGCAGCCCATGTTCCCCAACTTGCTCCTAAACTTTTATCCACCAGGCGAACTGCCCAAGGTGCCAACTTGCAGTTTCCACAGCGAATGACATTGTCCGTGCAGGAACTGGCAACAACTAATGGCATCTCAGAAAAGTCCTGTGGCAAAAGATGCATTTCGGGCCGAACGCCAGCTGCAAAACAACCAAGTACAGATGTAGCTACACGTGCAATAAGCAGCATTCAGAGTAATATCCAGATGAGCTGTTTTGAAGCTGTTGCTATTTGATTCTAGAACAGGCATTTCTCATGTTTGAATACAGGCACCTAGATCTAGGCCAACCCAGGCAGCGAGAGAAAAGCACAAGTGCAATCTGCCACATCCATCAGCACATGCAACTTGTTTATATCCTCATCACATCTGAACGCAACCCATGCATAAGAGAATTGGCAGACAGAGAATTGGCTTGACCAGGATATTAAAAACAGAGGTGCAGAGAATCTGTTGTGCTACTAGTGAGACTGCTGGACCCAACGACAGATCGAGAGATAAGTTCATAGCCCCTGTCACAGAAACAAGATCCATCCACAGAAGTTGACCCAGGTTTCCTTAAATTCTTCGATTCAGAGCCTTTTAACTGCCAGTGGTGCCAACACGAGGAGCCATTATACCTTTTGCCTATGGTTTCCGCTGCTTCTTGGCAGGGACCGCGAGCCTGGCTTGGCGGAGCCCATGCCGCTGAGACCCGGCAGTCGCGGAAGCGCCGCACAGGCCCGTTGGGGACACCTCTGCATTCCTAATGACAAGAGAACGCCCCAAATGCCATCAAACAAGCACGCAAGCGCGTACGCCCGGCACCCTGCTCGCGTTCAGGCGACCACCTGTGATGCTTTCAAGGCCGTTTTCAACACAGGGCTACTGCGAGTCAAAAGCAATGTGGTCCACACACGGGGCGGCCGCGAAAAGGCGGAAACCGCTTGGAGAACCCTTTTGGTCCAAGCAAGAGCAGAAACGTCGGACGGATGGGCTTCTGAACCAAGCGCAGCAATGTCGAACCTGCTACAGGCCGCAAGGTCGACGAGTGTGCCATTTTGGAGGCGGCCATCCGAAGGCGCGGACACGCCCTCTGCTGTCGTCGTCAACTGCGAGCACCGAGGTGTGGAAGGGCAAGGTGTGGCCAGCGGTTGATGACGGGAAACGTTATTTAGTCGCTGCCTTCCAACGTCAGCATGCAGGCGCCGGACCGGGGCCGGCCCGCGCCGGGCCGGCCCCGCTCGCCCCTACCAAGGGGAGCGCCCCGGCCCCCCCTGTGTCCCTGCCGCGAAAACAGCCAAGTCGTAGGACGGGGCACTGGCGCCTCCCCTCCGCAGTTCCGCACCTCGGCACGCGTGGCCACGGTCGCGGCTGACCCGCGGGGGCAATCAGCGTCGCACGTTGCTGCCTGTGGGGGCTAGCCTCCAGGCGCACAATGCACCATTTTGAGCACGGAGCCCCGCCATGGAGCGCGAGCACTAGGGCGCAGCACGCGGCGATCCGTCGCCGGCGGACTAAGTCGCTGGCGCCACAGCCTGTAGCTGAGTACAGGCCCCACGGTGAGTGCAGATGAACGCCGCGAGAGTCCAGTTCCGGGGGGGGTGAGAGGGGGGGGGCAATTCTGAACACGAGGAAGCAGAGCTGGAGGGCCTGGGCTGGTGCAGGGAATTGGGATTCGGGCTGTCGATCGTCGGTGGTCGCGGCGACATTTCTGCTGGGCCGATTGACGCGCGCCCGCGCGGCAGGATGCCCTTCGTGCACATTATAAGCACGTGTTTCTTGAGGGGGTGGGGGTGCTTGAGCAGCGACAATTATGATCGTGCAAACTTTTCCAGCCGGGGCAGCAGAACATGCTCGGCATCAGGCACAAGAGCTCGTGGCGAGCGCCTCTTTCTATGGGAGAAGGACTGGGTTCGAATCCCAGTTGTGCCTTACACCTTTGCCTTTAGCATTCCCCGCCCCTTTTGCGTGCCAGAAAGTACCGCCAAAAACTTGCCAGCAACATAGCCCACAGGCTGAAACAAAGACCACTGCGCTCCGCGAGTGCACCTTGCGTACTGCGACTACTGCCGTGCCGTGCATTGCGCCGTGTTCGTCAGCGCACTTCATCCCGTTGCCTGAAGCAATGAAGCCTTGGCACCATGCTGTGCGCTTCATGATTCTCTAGCCTGCCTTGCCGTCGAGGCCCACATGGCTTCCCCACAAGCATGCACCTCGTCGCAAACGCCTTCAAGTCTTTGTGAGGACTGTCGAAGGCAGAAGCATCGTCTTGCAAATTGACCTGTGTGACAGAATCCAAGCGATCAAGAGGAAGATCGAGGAGCTGACAGGCATCTCTGTATGCCTGCAAAGACTCTTGTTCATGAGAAAGGCCTGTACTCAGCTACAAGCTGTGGCGCCAGCGACTTAGTCCGCCGGCGACGGATCGCCGCGTGCTGCGCCCCAGTGCTCGCGCTCCATGGCGGGGCTCCGTGCTCGAAATGGTGCATTGTGCGCCTGGAGGCTAGCCCCCACGGGCAGCGACGTGCGACGCCGATTGCCCCCGCGGGTCAGCCGCGACCGTGGCCACGCATGCCGAGGTGCGGAACTGCAGGACTGCGGAGGGGAGGCGCCAGTGCCCCGTCCCACGACTTAGCTGTTTTCGCGGCAGGGACGCACGGGGGGCCGGGGCGCTCCCCTAGGTAGGTAGGGGCGAGCGGGGCCGGCCCGGCGCGGGCCGGCCCCGGTCCGGCGCCTGCATGCTGACGTTGGAAGGCAGCGACTAAATAACGTTTCCCGTTGATGACCCCCGCAGCGCACCACATTCCAACCAAGTTCACCTGCGCAGAGACGGAGATGCGCTTTTATGTCCACGCTGAACGATGGCCACTTATTTAACCTGGAAACTCTGCATAATTAGGAGTAGTAGGGGCAATACTGAGTAAGGGAGCAAGAGAACTCAATCCAGCAAGCATTGTACCATTTACGTGGCAGAAGGCGTCGAGATGTCCCCATTCCGCCAGAGACGAGCAGTGCGAATCAAAGGGATTGTGTGCGCAGCCCTGGAGTCCGTCACGCCGCAATTGCGCCGAAGTGGGCGGCTGGGACCGACCGAGGCAAAAGGGCACGCAAGCGGGCGCATCGATGCACAAACGGGCGAGCAGTGCATCGAGCTGCTCAAAGAAAGGGAGAATTCCCGCCGAATAAATCCGGAATCACGCCAGGCGCCGGGTTAAAAGAAGGCGGGGTGATCTGTTCTCTCTGTCCCCCGCTCGGGCGCGGGGCCCAACCCGACTCGACCCGGCTCAGGACCGCGGCGGGGGGCGGGATGGCGGCCCCTTCGCGCGCCGCCACGGGCGAGGGGCCTGCCCTTGGTGCCGATGGCGTGCTATGCGCGTCCCCCGGGCGCACGTGTGCTTCCACATCCGAACAGCACGAGGTAACAGCCACCGCAGCGGGGGGTCCCCGGCGACAATCCTAAGGTGCCGATGCTGCTGTGGCTGCGGCGCCAGCTTGCTGGGACTCGCCTGTTGACGGGGCGCACGTGAGTGGGTGTGGTTTGGTGCGAAGGGGGCGGGGGATTGGGGAGCTTCATGCGAGTGCCCGACGGAGGGCTCGTGCCCGATTTGCCTTCAGCCCATAGCGCTGGTGGACCTCGCGACCGTAAAGGACTGCGGGCACGCGTACTGCGGTAAGCACGCCGTGGGAAACCCAGCGGCACCGCTGCCCCCACCGTGGTGGCCGCAGCAATAATTGCGCCACGTCGGGTGCCTTGTCACTCCTGATGGCTGCATTCTCTGGAAGAGGGCCTTACAGTTGGAGGAGGTGTTCCTTGGCTGGCAGGCACATTTGCTGTTCGGGATTGCCAGTCAATGGACAGAGAGACACATGCGCCTGTGGCTTCTCGCCAGCTCCTTTCTCCTTGCTGTGGGATTCCACGGCCTGAAGCGTGACTTTGGATGGCACGCTGGGCGTGACAGTGCAACACCACGTTCCTCTGCGGCACACGCTCCACAGTGTGCCTGGAATGATTGATTCACACACCTGGCGACCCAATGAAGGTGTCATGGCGTGATCGTGTGCTGGCTGCTGTGGGCAGTGTACTGCATATTGGAGTGGGCGTCAGTCAAGGAACCTGCCACATGTCCTCAATGCAAGCGAGAATTCAGCGTGCTGTGCTGTCTTCGAGAGCTGGACGGCACCGTGACTGACGGACTGCATGAGGAGAGTGTTTGCATGCTGCAGCGGGCACTGTGGGTTCAGCGACGCCCTGCGGTGAGGGCTGGGAAATATAAAGAATGCAGTGCCATTCTTTGTTTGCACAGATCTTCTGTCCAGCAAAAGTTCAGGCACAGCCCTAACTCCAAATAGACTATGTCAGACGCTGTTCACAAACACAAATTTTGCTCCCTAAGAAACTCTTGTTCCACGCACGGCCACGGGTTGTCAGCGAGGGGAGATCCCACTTGTGATCAGGTGCATTGGAGATGTTTTGTCTGGAGTCCAAGCAACAAACGTAGCAGCATGTTCCATGTGACAGTATTGGCGCGTGCGTCTGTCCATTCACTTTTGTGGGGATGTATTGTGGGTCGGCTTGAAACTAACGCGGGTTGCTCTGCATGGTAGGTGGAGGGGGCTGACAGCAGTGCGCCGCAAGGGAGGCAGGGTCCAGATGATGTGTTTGATGATGACTATACTTATGAGGTGGATGATACAGAGGACTATTACTTCTCAAATGCAGCAGGTGTGGGTGATGCCCTTTTGGTCCTGTGGATTTCTCTTCCAGTCAGGATTCTCTCCAGAATTGTATGAATTGCAGAAAACCAAACAGTCGGAATTGAGAAGAATCTAGATTCTCAGATGATCATTGCTTTCCAAGGTGCAAGGGCACATTTTGGCCTCCACAGGCCACTCATCATTTACTGTATACAATTGCATTTATGGCAGCGTGGTTTGTGTGCCAACAGGCTCTGCGAGAATTGTGCTCGGGAATCGCCGCTTTGGAAAGAATGGTTATATGCGTGCAGGCCGAGTGTACGCACAGCCCTCAGTACACGACAAGAATTGTCAGGGAGGGGGCCAGGGGAAGGCACAGCCTGGCCGTCCTGATTCAGGGCAACAACAACAGGGGCGCCGGGCCCGGCGTCGTGCAAAGAGAGCCGAGTATGACTGAAAGCGTTGACAAAGTGGCTTTGCATTGCACCAAGAGCAGCACACACTTTTGTTGTTTGACTTGTATTCTTGCTTTGGTGGGCACTATGCTTCAAGCATGTACTGCCCAAATTTTCTCTGCCCAGTGTCGCTGGGTGCAAATGAGCTGCTTGTACCATAGCAGGCCTCGTTCAGCAATTGGCCAAAGACATGGGAGTGGGTGTATTGCAGAATGGGCTGCAGAAATGGTGCACATTGACTTGCAGTTCCTTTTTGTGGTGTAGTGCGGGTTGTGGGTGTGGGCTTGTACTTCTATGTTTGGCCTGTTTAGGTTGTAATAGTCATGAGAGATTCATTTCTGTGGTTGCTTCCTGTACTGAAAGGGCAATGTCACCTTCCCTGCCTTGCAGCTCCTGAGTGGAGAAAAGTCCTTTAGTTATCATCATCAAGTCAGAAACTATGGTTGTGTCTTCATGTTGTCTCCATGGTTTGTGGGGATGTGTGGTTGGGATTCCCAGCCAGGGAGACTGCAGCAGTAGGCTGATTGTCAAAAGCCTTGCTGCACTGTACATCGGTGCATGCGCGTTCTGAATCTGTGAGCAATTGCTATGACACACTGTTGACATTGCTGTACACGTTGAGCTCTTATATACTTCCAGTCTTGTACCACAGAAATGGGTTTGGGGTTGATGAATCTTCCACACGCCGATGGTTTCGAATTTCACCAACTGGCGACATAGCTGTGCTCAACAGCATCAGATCGGCGTCACTGTTACTCTCAGTGGGCGATTTGAGTGCAGCGTGCTTCCATGGCACAGGAGCATGGAACCGCAAATATTCACAGATTGAACAAGTAGTGGTCTCTTATTCCCTGCAACATGAGAGTGTATCCTGTTGTGAAGTGAGCTGATGTGTCGATGGGTTTACACCAAAGGCGACTGTGGGTTGGCTGCGCTAGTTGTACAGAAGCATTACCTGGCACATTGGGTCAGGAACAGAGACGTTCATCTAGAGCCACTTGTCGCCATTGGAAGTGGCGGGGTTTTAAGTGACTGAGCAGAGACGGCCATTGAGGCCATCAATTCCGTTGACAATGATCAGCGTTTATGCACTTAATCAACAGCACAATGTCGATTGTAGTGTGCTCAATGTCAAATTATCGGGGAGGGGGCGAGGGGGATGCGGGGGAAAGAGGTGTGACACTAAGAGTTTACATAATTGCAACAAAACGGACAGAAGCCAAGAAGAGTCTCAAACTGCTGCGCCGAAGCTGCAAACACGTCATGAATCGTGCTCCCTCAAAGAACACTTAATCTTCACGGATTGGGCCCCAGTGTCAACTGTCACCTTCCATCACTTCAAGTTATCCAATTCATCCCTATTCAGACCTCTCCCATAGCTGGCAACCATGCCTCAGGCATAAAATTAATCCCTGCATCAAATCGGTGACTGCTTGCACGAAAACGGTGACTTCTTGCACCAAGTCACGTGAACATCATGTCCAACTCCGTCAAAACTAACCTAACCTAAACCCTAAACCCTAAACCCTAAACCTAAACCTGTCCTAACCCTAACCCTAACCCTAAAACTCATCCTGAACTAAACCTAACCCTAAAACTGAGGTTAGGACAAAGTGTGCACGTGACTTGGTGCAAGCAGTCACCGATTTGGTGCAGGCAGTAATATTATTTCCCATGCCTCATCGAGCCAGCAATCGGCACTTTTGGACAGAGAACTGGGGCGCATGTTCCTGGTGCCTGGTTGCTGTGGTCTGCACAGAGTACCACACGTCCATTTGGCCATACGCCCATCCAATGCCCAAGGCGGCCAGGAAAACAGCGGCGCCTCCGCCCACTTTCAGAAAGGAAGCTGTCCTCAAAACTGGAGGTGAGTTGCGCGTGTCCCCAAACCAGCCACAGTGCAGCCAGCCTGGAAAACTGGGCATCCGATGCTGGGCACACGGAACTTGGGGTTGTGTCAGTGAAGGAGCTGCGGGGCGGAACAGATCAAGCCGCAAGGCCCACCTGCCTGTTCAGGCGGGGGCATCAGGAACTCCCAGCAGTCGTCCGCGCCATGGACGTTCGACTCGGCGCGGCAGCGCAGGTCAAGGCTCGGCCATTCGACATCGTCATGACCAACCTCCCCCTCCAGCAGAAAAGTCTTTCCGCCTTGGCGCTGCAGGATAAGACTGAGAGGATGGGAAGGACGGACAGCAAGGAGGGAGGTGGGCCTGGCAAGTTCATGGGCGAAGTTTGATGTCAACAGCACCAGCACCAGCGTCAGGCTTTGAGGTACTGTTCCCACAGCTTAGAACAACCCGCAGAGGGGTCTTGTCAGGATAAACAAAGGACAAGAGCAAGGAAAGTAAAGGAGGACGGTAAAGGAGAAGGGAAAGTGTATGGAAGGGGAAGAAGGACGAAACGGCCATCTGCTGGTACTGCACCATTTGCATCGAGCAAATGAGGCTGCCAGATGTGTTGTTCACAGCCCACTGCCGTGAACATGTGTACTTTGGTGAGCACAGGGCAAGATGAAAATATGAATCTGTGTATCGAGAACAACAACCATCAAACTGACGCAGCCGACTTTGGCTCTCGTTGACAAATCTATTTCTTCTTCATGTTGCATTTTCGGTGTTGCCTGACAGAAACTCCACTTGTCGCCGATGATCAGCACAAAAGTGTTGTGCATACTTGAACGGCGTTGACAGTGAGATGCACCCTTCCCCAGTGGTACACTGCTTCAACGGAGTTGCCCTAGTTAGTGCTTGACACGCTGCTACGATTTGTGGCCAGCACACTCCGAACAGTGCATTTGGAACCTATGGTTGTGATGGGCATGGGTTCCCCACAGTGCAAAACTTGGATGTAGCCGTTCCTGTCTGGCTATTTGGAACAAGCCATATGGTTTCTGGTGTTCCCCTGTTGGGGGGACTGTGTGTGTGTTCAAGGTGTCACGACACAGCTTGCTGCCACAGAAGCCATCTGTATCTCAGCTATCCGGATGTGGAAGTCTGCTAACAGACATGTCCCATGCCTGATACACTCACACATATGCATTTCACTTGTGGGGATAGACCATAGGGACTAGTACAGTGGAGACAACCCATCACACTCTGCTTTTTTCAGCCTGCTGGTGCAATGATGATGACGCTAGTGCTGACGGATGATTAGAACAGCACAATCCATTCTCTGATGCACAGCAGAGTGAATCACTCACCAACTTTGAGCACTTGCAGTCAGGTGGGGGTGGACTGGGGCAAGTGGGTGGGCCCAGCAGCAGATATGAGGTGCCACCAGCTGTGTGGAAGGTCTGAGCCACAGTTGTTGAATGGGATAAACTTGGGTGTGTCCTCAAAACAGAGGAACGCAACACAGATATATGAAGTTGGTGGCTGCTTGGACAGTGTGCAGCGACATGCACTTGTTGTAGTGTCTGATACCTGTTGAGTTGGTGCCACTTTGCTTTTCACAATCTCCACAAACTTGTCATTGCTTGAGTGATGAGTCGCCCATGCAAGAGCAGGGTCTGTAGGGTTGTGGATGTACTATTTGGCCATACGCCAAGCTTTGTCATTGAGGTTGTTAGGAATAAATAGAATGCAACGCCCAAAGGCATTGCATTCTGTTGCATGCAAGGTAGCGACCATCAGGTTATATGCCACATGGAAAGCGAGGCAAGCCAGCAGCAATGGGGTGGTGTTCGTTGTGTGGTGTGTGCTGTGGCCTTGTGGTCATGCTCAATCTCATGTACCCTGCTTCACAATTGCGTGCCATAAAGTACCCCTTTGTTCACAGCGTAGAAGGTGAGGAAGGCCAGCACAATAAGGTCTTTTCTCTTGATACACATGTGCCTTGCGTTTTTCCACTTGGCTGCTTGGCAGTGACCCCTACTACCCGTAAACTACATGGGGCACGTCCTTCTGGGACTTGGAAGGAGAGCTTGCAGAGAACAGCAGTTGCGCAACAGGACATCCTGAGAGAAACCAGTGTTGGATGCAAGATAGGAATGGGACTCTAAGAGCAACACGAAGCCGCGGCTTGAAACTGCTCAGAAATGCACCTGGAAAGATCGCATAGCTTGTCACAATGTGCGATGCTTAAATGCAAAGTGTAGACTGTTCCCGAAGCCCTTCCAAGTTGTGAGGTAACTGGACCTCAACAGATACGTGTTCTGGCTGTGTCTCATAGGGTCCAGGGTGGATTCCCCTTTGCAGTCTTTGGGTGCGTGGTGAAACAAGGGAAGATAAGGGGAAGGAGTTTAACGAGTCGCCAAATTGCTGCATTGGCCTGAAGGTGGGCAAAGCTGCACGGAAACGGGAATGTGCTGTGCTGAGATAGCATGGAAACACCCAAACAAGGTCGCCTGTGCACACCGGTGAGTCACTAGTTTACTGCAATTCAGATTCACGGTACTTCAGAAACCAGTTCATCCGAATTCGTCCTGTTCACAGCCCCTCTTGCATGTGTCAGCTGATTCAGGAATCCGTTGTGACGTCGATGTCCACGATGTCCAAGCAATCTGAGTGGCTGAGTGTTGCCATCATAATCAACATGCCATCTATCTCTAAGAGGATTGACGAGATGGCCATCCCATCTTCAGGATTGCACAGGCAATCCACAAAACTGGCTCAGGTGCGATTACATCACTTCGATGCATGCACCCTCTACCGAACAAAACATGCATCTTGAATCTCAACTATATAGCATTCTATGTCACCGCTTATCAATTCGGCACAAATCTCGGCACAAACAATCTCAACGTGCGAAATCGGCACAGCAATTGGCTTGGCCTTGAAGCTTGGCTACAACATTGTTAACCCTCGCTTTTTCTTCTCATGGTACGATCCAGATGCCTTGACCGATCACTGCGAGTATATGGATACATGATGGACATCGCCAGAAGCCGGTTCACCTGGCAGCATTGAGTATGTCAGAGAACTACTATTTCCATTCCACAGCCAGGTGCCCAGGGGCATTCACTGCCAGATGATTGTCAGTGCGTCAGTGGAAATTGGCCAATTGATGGGGCCGGTGAAGGGTGCCACTACGACTGGTGGGCGAGGTGACTTCCATGGTGGGCATTCTCCAAATCTAGCAGCTGTACCCCTGGTAGTTGCTGATGAAGGCAGACCACTGTCTTTGGCCAAGCTGACTGTTGCTTGCCACTGGTCAAGCACTTTGCCCGTACAGACAGAAGCATTTTCCCCCAAGTTGTGCATGGTTGCTTGTTATTATGAGTCCAACGGTGGCCATGGTTACCATCACTTGCCCACAAGAGGGTCTGATATCCAAACGTTGTGCAAATTATCGCACACGGCCGCAATGATCTGCACACAGCCCAAACACAAACAAAGGAGGGTCCTCTTTGAAACACACAATCAAGTTAGTGGATGCCTATCTATCCGATGAAGTTGCTTAATTCTCTCAGTTATTGGGCGAGATACAAACCAAACAGTTGTCATGCATCACTGCCCCCTTCGCGCGTTCACAATGGTGTATTCTTTCTCAAGAGGCACCAACTTGCCTCGTGTCCACACTCGCGAGTTATCATGTGGCCACCTTCAACTTCCACCAACTGGGCTGCCAACAGCTTCGCAATTCTTCGGGCGTATTTCTTGTGTGCCACCACATCGTGCCTGCCATGGATGAGTTGGACTGGAAATTCACCTGCGAATTCAACCGATTTCTTGAAAACATGTAGCCATATACCAGCTGACAATCTTTAAGGCCGGCTCTCGCGAACAAATCGGCTATTGCAAAGTCGCTTATCCTGCAGGCTAAGCAGTGGCTAAACGTCTGCCATTTTGGCACGTTGCATATGAGGGGTTGACACAGGGAACCTTGGTATGCCACAGGGTCCCAAGCACTGTAGAAAGTAACGAAACATGCTCTGCACACAGTATCCATTTCTGCTGTATGTCAGTGCTTTCCCGTCGCATTCTTTCCCAAATGACATCATCAGCCCTATTTCTCAACCAGATGTTGTCTGGTTTATTGCAAACAGCATCTGGCCCTCCACACCAACTTTGAAACTGCATCGCTTCTGCACCAGTTGACCAATGCAAGCAAAACAGGAAGAAAACACGATTCTTTGCAGCATCCTACGATGTGGTTGTGCCACTCTTGCAACACAGTCTGACTTTTGCTTCGCAGCCCATCCAGGCCCACAGACTGTGGCCCACGCAAACAACCAGTCAACGTTCGCACTGGAACAGCCTGTCGGACAGCAAGACAAACCTCTCCCCAGTCCACTTGGCTGCTTCCCAAACGCCCCTCACCTCCTCTTATCTGACTAATGTCCTTTTTGCTGAGATTGTGCTTCAAGCAAGCCATCAATTGGCCGTGAAGCCCTGCCTGGGGCGTTGTTGCCTTCTGACACTGCAGGTACTCTTGGAAAAGCACGTCCTTGCGCCGGAACTTGTCAAACCCCACCTGCAGCTGCAAATCCAGCATCAAAGTGCCATATGTTGTCGATTCTTCAGCGGAATAGTTTCTTTTTCGATCAAATTAATGTTAGGTTTTCTCCAATACACCACAGACACCTTGCAAGCCTGCACCAAACTCAACATACTATTCTTGCTTTTTGACAATGAAACGCATTCCGTCTCCTTGGATTTGAAAAAGCGCAGAAATCACCCATCGTCGTCTTGTTGGCGCGATGGGAGCGTAGTACCTACGGAAACAATGTGCACAAGCAAATTCCAACCTGCTGCTGCACGTTAACAGAGACTTCTTAACAAGGCTCTAGTTTGCCTTGTGTCCAGAAGATACTGCTGGCAAAAACATAAATAATTTTGAGCATGGCTATGGCAGTTGAGGACCACTATGCATGTCACTGTTCAAGGCCAAAGCCACACCTTGAATTCCAGATTGCATGTGGCCTACATATGCCACCTGATGAGCATCATAGCTGCATTCCATTATCTCCACTCACACATTATCTTCTCTGTGAAACACGATGTCTGGCCCCGTGGTGGCCAGCAGCACCTGAATGGAGTCATGCGGGGAAAGCAGCCAACACGACAAAGCAGCAGAGTGCCGCGGTACAACGACGGCAACAGAATCGCCACAGCCTAGTGATTGGCACTGTGTTGCGTGCTGAACTACCAGATACACTCTCTTGAGTAACTGATCTGCCGTGGTGCTGGAATTTCAGTTAGTAGAAAGCCCGCGATTCGGAAACAGAAGGCCACTTCTCAGGCAGCTGTTAGCAGGTTAAGAATGCAATCTCAGCAAGCACTTTTCCAAAGCTCGCCGAACAGTAAAGCTCCCCACCAAAGAAACAATCCAGCAGGTTGGAATGATCACTAAGGCCTTTATTCAGGCATCAGGGCTGCCGTATGCGCTCTGTCACATTTCAGCAAGCCATGATGTCACAGTGTGTTCAATGTCACTGGAATCGAGAGCTACAGCTCATGGACTAAGGCACTCTGTCTCTGGGCATGACATGCAGCAGGACAGTCCTGGCTGGGCACCAGGGTCAAACTTCTTTCACATGTGGAATTCGTTGCCCTCATCGCCCACCCTTTCCTCCAGGGTCCTCCTGGAGAAGTGGAACTTCACGGTCATCTTTGCTTTGTCCTCTGGAGACTTGACGAACATGGACTTGACGAAAAGCTTGAAGCTGCGCCAGGTTGCTGGCAGTGTTTGCCACCGGCCGCCAGTAACGCCCAACAAGGACAGAGATCGGATGCGCTCTGAGTACATGGAGGCAACCTTCGTAGAGACCATTGCACCCAGGCTGAAACCAACACAGTGAAACTCTGCCCATCCAAGCTGGTCCTGAGCATGCAACAGTGTCAAACAATTAGTTAATCGGCTTTTATCTCAAAAAAAACAATTTCACAACACATCCTGCGTGTTCTGAATCCCATTTGACTACATTTGCGCAATATGACAAAAGGCTGCCCCTGCATCTCTCTTGTTTGTAACCACTTTTTTTGTGAAATCTCCTGGCCACCAAACTACGTCTAGTGTTGCCGGCTGGTCAGCGGGTTTTTACGACTCATTGCAGACTGTCTCCAAACACATTGTCCACAGTGGACCAGGAATGGGCTATATCTACGCTCGTCGGAAGGAATGTGCCAACGCATCAGCCTTTTGTTTTACAAGCAGTGCCGGAGTGCTTGATGAGGATGAGCAAATGGTGCCATGAGCATAACAGGGGGGAAAGGGGAGGAGACACAATGATTGGGGTTGCGTGGCCTGCATCACCTTTGGTCGACCTAAGATGATGTGAACGATCCGCTTTTGTTGATGTAAATGGGCATAGCCTTGCCAAAGTTCGACAGTTGGAGCCAGCAAAAGGCCACAAAGTAAAATTTCCAATCCGCATAATTATGTTATGGGGCATCTTACAAAAATCCTCATGGTCCCAATGCCTTGTGCTGCAGTCAGGACAGCACATTCATCAACTTTGCATCTCCCTTCTTCCAAAAACGTTGACAATGGCAATGCATCAGCTGCTGCATTCAGGTTTCAATCGTGTTGCCCAGGCAATCCATGGCAAAAACTGTGCTGCTGACGTGGCAGACACATCCCTTACCACTGATGATGGATAAAACACCTGGTAAAGCAGTTTGTAAAGTCAGCGTACATATTGTTGTACACATTCAGCCTGCTACATTGCATGGAAGGCACATCCTAGCTTTCACACCACTGGGATTCTGATGCACCACTGTGCCCTCTAGTGCCATCCATTGTTCGTTGAATCTCATCTGCCTGAAAGTGTGCCAAAGGAAACCAACTATTTGCCAAGCACTTAAGTGGCCCTGTTCAACAGTACAGGCTGTTAAGACAAGCACCACATGACATGGACAGATCTTGCCAAGCACTCGTGTTCAAGCTCTCCAGCAAGGGCAAAGAGGAAGCGAACAGCAAGAACCTACCGCAACAGCAACAACATCATTTGCCATGATGACCGTTGTATAGCTCTTGTGTCCTGCAGGCTTTGAGCTGCGGCCAATCCCTCTGTTGTCAACAACACAGATCTCCAGTGGACGTTCTTCCTGTGCGCATGCTATGAATCAGCAAAATATGTCTGCACCATACAATGCACATGACGGTGGCCAATGCCCCTGGAGCACAGAGAAGAGCCCGTGACGAATCGACATTGACCATCCTCTGTGCCCCAGCAATATGTCTGCCTTCTATTCTTTGCCCGTGGGGACCATCAACCCCAAATGATCCAATTGGCAGGTGGCATGCTATTGCATGCCTGTTCCTCCTAGGCATCAAATGCAATAAAGTACTCTGGACTAGTGGTACACGTGCCTGGAAGGGTACTATGTTTCGACCTTGACTACAATGCTTCACATTGGAAAAACACTAGCATTTCCACGAGATTTTCTTTCAACACACACAAGCTCACAGATTGTATTCCTTGCTTGCATCTATTTGCGTGCTTATGTGAGTCTCCTGATGTTGATGTCTAGTTTTCCAAAGCGTTAATTGCTGCACCCTGTTCTGCTTGTATTTGGAGACTTGTAAATTTTCCAAGTACACTGCAAAGAGCCACAAATGCTGTCCCTAATGGTGTGCCCAGCCTACTGTCTTCTTCTCTTGTCTGCAGCAGTTATCAAACTGACTAGCACTCTTGCAATACACATGTCCTCACTCACCTCTTGTTGGAGGAGGCCATCCAGCTGCGGTGCCCAACAGTCACAGGTGCATGCAAACCCTGTGGCCACGACACCAGCAGCTGGTTCAAATTACAATCCTTCCCACCCATTAAACACTTGCACCCTGAAGCTGAGTTTCGAATTTCTTTCCAGTGCATTCGTCTTTGCAGTGCATGAAGGTATACTCGTGAACGATTAAGAGCATTCTCACAACCCACATGTTCAATGGATACTCTGTTATTCATAACTCTGCACTCTGCCAGATTCCACATTGCTCCCGTGCTCATCAATAGCAGAAGCTGAACGAGGACCCCCATGCTTGCGTGAGCAACTCACCCATTATGAACATTGCCCGGGGCCAAGATTCCGCGGATGCCCTGTCCTCATGTTCTGCCAAGGCGTTCCACTCCTTAGCAACGCGTTGGACGCATGGCAGGTGCCCCAAGCAGCATCAGCACAGAGCACTAATGTGGATCTCAGATGATGCAGTTTCGGATCAACTGTAAGCTGCACGGATAGAACCAGATCTGGCGTTTTTCAATACGCGAGTCGGCATCCGAGTGCACCAGTTGTATCGGCGGCAGCTTGCCCACGCGCTCACCCTTGGAAAGACCGCTGCAATACAGCTCGTAGTACAGCTCTGACCCATCCCCGGCCCGAGCATAGCCCGTCCTTGCGGGCTCAGGCACTTGCAGCGGTTCCATTATCTCCCAAGCAAGCCGGACAACAAATTCGGTGTGACAAACGGCACCAGGATACCCTCGAGGGGCGACCGGCCAGGCCAATGCCGGGACAACGAATTTCGCGTAGGCGTCCGAGTGCCTGGCCTCCTGTCCGCAGTGCTTTTTGACGACCAACGTCCAAGAATATCCTCGCCGTCGCGCAAATATGCGATCACCTCCACTGCTTCCGATGGCAAGAGACGTCCACAACCGGTCCCTGCCTTTGGCCTTGCCCCACCACCCGTCGGACAGAGGAGAATGACACACCGCACAAGGGGGCCGAGCAGCAGAGCGCTCCCCTGGCAAAACAACGGGAACACGGAATCTCGCGCAGTGGCCAAGCGTCACACTATCACACCCAGGTACTGTCGTCAGTCCCGGTGCGGCGGTTGAGGCTCGCAGTTGCCGGCCTGTGGCGCAGGTCTAGGGGCCAGTCGACGCGCGTGGAGGGTCGCCCAGGCCAGGCGCGATGGCATCCGAAGCCGCGGCCCGCCAGGCGTCGCCAGCCGCTTCCGGCCGTCAAGTCAGTGGAGCCTGGAGCCAGGTGGATCACAGTCTCTTGCGTGGAGCTTGCGTCCCTAACGAAAAGCTTGCGTTCAGTTAGGGACACAAACCTTGAAGAATGACCGACGAAAGCAGCCTGTTCGCGACGCCGCATAATGACCACCGTTTCACTGGGTGGATCACTTCTGCTTGATGGCTTGCGACTGGTGGGCATGTCAAAGCGTGAATCGCTGTTTGAGATTGAAAGAAATCTGAAAGTACCGAATAACCATTTCTGTGATTGAATCCTGGTTTGGAATTTGGCTTTTGAGGTAGTTTTCGATCACACTCATGTTTGTTGAGGACAACATGAGCTTGATGAAAGAATGTCCTGCAATTCACATAGAGATGCCTTGGTCATAGTGTCTTGTCCGCAAGATGCAAGGGTGTGTTGTGGGGAAGTTTCGGATGTGTGTTTCCCAAAGCTTTACAGCATTGTGACCGCCCTCGACTTTCACTTTGGCTTGCAAGATTTTTTGTACTTGCACTTTGCAATGGGGGCGTTTGGAAATGACCATATGCGGCACCTGAGTAGTCAGAATTTTGTTGTTTTGAATTCTGAGTGAAAGGGAAGCTGTGGCATGTTTAAGATGTGGGCTGCATCGTAGTGATGAGGTGGCATGGGGGTTGAATTATCTAATGGGCATTTGTGATTATGACAATCCTTAGAGGTCGAAAATGGGACATTGTATCAGATGATGGAAATTGGCATGAACGTGGCTGATCATTTTACGCGCACCCCAGCCTGTTGGGGGCGCAGCAACCTGTGCTGTGAACCACGCCTTGGGCTCCATGTCGCCTGGCCATGTGAGCGCCGGCGCGTGGGATGGCGACCCCTCCAATCGCCTAGCTATTGCCGCTTCTCTGGCTTACTCCGAAGAGGACAGGCCGATCATGCTATGCGTGATGGTGCGTTTCCTTTATCAAGCCGGTATTAGCAGCGGAGGTCGTGGGCCAATCAAATCAAAAAGGGTGTGCCCGCAAGCGTCGCATTTGGTGGTGCATGTGATGGCTCGTTGAGCATGCAGTCCGCATTCAGCCGCAGCTCTTACAGATTCAAACGACGACTGCTCCGTCCGCACGCTGTGTACAAGGACGGTTCTTGGATCGCAACTTGGTGTTTGGGATCCAAGGGCCAGCCAGCGACGAAAATGCTCTAATTTTCCCGTATCAGGCTACACGGTGTGCGGTGTTGCTACAGTCGGACTGGCGAGCTGTCTAAAAGCTATCCCGTGCTCTATACACCAAACTCTAAATGCCTCGTGCGTTCGGGTCCCTGCTTCGGAGACCTCCTACCCAACACCCCCCGCGCCCAAGCATTTATGTCAACATTTCCATGCATTAGAAGTTCAATTAAATCAAGTATCCACGCCAATCCAACAACTTGAAGAGTGCCCACGAGGGACTTATTCTCAATACTTCCAGGAATCGGCCTTGGGATTTCGCCGCCCCACTGCGGACTGCCAGCAACACGCAGGTATGGTCGCGTTGGTAGCCAACGGCAATCTTGAAGTCGACCATCAAATTTAATGATGCCTGCACGCCGCTGCACTTGCTCGCAGACAGCCGTCCCTCTACCAACAACGGCACCACCACAATATCAAATGAAATGTCCGTCATCCTTGTGGATAATTATACATCAAGAAGGGCGTGCCGCCCCTTCAGTGGCGTTTGAATGCTCTTCGAGGATCCTGGCGAACAAATCTCGTGCCCAGGAGAACTTCTAGCAGCCAATCCGGGATGCAGCTTCGAATGACGGTAGTTGGGGCTTTGGACGACGGCAGGCGTTGGATGATGCGATGGCCGGCATGGGACAATCATGTGCACGTCAACCACAGCAAGATCAAGCGTTCTTCCTGTCAATGGCCATGAACCTCTCCCGAGCCCGTTGCTCCACAACGAATCCGGAGGCCATGCACAGCAACGTGCCCAGCGTCGTCGTGAGCACGAGGTGGGAGGCGTCCAGGCCGTGGTCGCCGTCCGTGTGGCTGAACCCCTGGCTGCCGTACAAGGTGATGCAGCCGATCGTGCACGCCCAGTCCATCAGACACACCGCCAAGAGGCGCGGGAATCGAACCTGGCTCAGCAGAGAAAACAGCAGCCGACGTGTCATCAAGCCTCTCAGCACCGCCCTGATCAGCTATTTGAAAATCAGCATATTGTAAATGCATGGGACGACGACGCCTAGGACATGAAAGGGCGATGCGCTGTCGTGCTTCAGCAAGTGTAACAGCCCTGCCGAAAGCTGGGTCTGTGCAATTGCACGTGGACGGAGGCCAGTGAAGAAACGATTGAAAGAAAAGGACCAATGGACGAGAAAACCCACGTTTTGGGGACAAGGGGTGGACATCCAACAGTGGGTGGGAACGGACGAGGAAAATCCCGAATTGGCCATCAGTTTCAGTCCAGGAGCCAGCCTACCTGAAACACAAGCGCCTTCAGAATCATCTGCAAGACTTGTGGCGCTGTCTGACCTGGCTGGCTCAGGTATGCCGGCAACACCCCCCAGATGGCGGAAAGCACGCAGCACGCCGCAAGCAGCATGAACAGCATCGTCACCAGCAGCTCACGGCTGTGAACGTACAGCTTCCCCCCGCCAAGGGAGAAGCAGTACACCAGCGGTGTCAGCAGGGCAGTTGCCGGCGCCCAAAATCCTCCTCGACAGTTGCTGCAGAACCTAATCATACGAAGGCGGAAAAAGTTTTACCAAACAGAACACGTGCTGCGAGGGACGAATATTCCTCCCCAAAGGCAGATCACAAGAATTCTTGAGTTTAAAATCTACGTAACAACTACAGAATGTACGACTGTCATCTTCCCCACTGAATGAAACCTGCAACCAAACTTACATCTGCTGACCAGCTCGTTTTTGATCGATTGAATTACAGCAGTGCGTACTGATGTACACATCACTCCCATAGTGTGGCGTAACATGACGCGCTTTACTGGACTCCAGCACTGGCATGTTTCCCACCGATGGTTGCCGACTGCTGCACTTCCTGTATTCCCCACCTACATTAGACTCAGCCCTGCGACCATCACAAGCGTGCAGCATCATCTCCAACGCGAAACCTGGCAAGCACTGTCTACTCTGCTTTGCTCGGCTAAAATAGGAACCTGACGGCTACCTCATTGCCTTGTTCTGTAAAAAATGCTGATGACGATGATGACAAGCTCACGCACACCCCGCCCTCAGCGGCACCCACCATATCTTGGCGTACAGCGCAAAGATGGCCACCACCAGTTCCAGCGACGAGCACCGGTTGTTGAAGTACTCCGCGAAGCGCTGCTCCATGACGGGATCCCCGAAGCCCGAGAGCCACCAGTGCCCCCGGCCACCGCCCGCCCGCCCGCTGCCCCGCCCCTCCTCTCCGCCCCACCCGCCCGCGCTCTTGTCCCATCCGTCCCCGGACGTCGATCCCGGCGACGCCTCCCCTGGGCCCCGGGACCCAGAGGCCCCGCCCAGGGGCTCGCAGCGCCCAGGGCTGCCGATCGCTGATGTGCTGGTCCCGGCGGCGTCCGATCGACCGTCTCCGGGGGCTTCAGGCAATAGTAATGATGCGCTGCGGCTGAAGCCCGCCTGGGCGTTGAGGCCGTCCGTCAGGGTGTGCGAGAGGCGCTTCAGCTCGGGGCCGGAGATCGTCGACGCCTCCAGCGGCCGGTCGCTGAACGTCAGCGACAGGCCCGTGTTCTCGTGCACCCGGCGCAGCAGGAAGGCGGCCATCTCCCAGGACTGGACGCTGAACAGGTACAGCAGTAGCTCGCCCAGCTTTTCGAAGAACGCCTGCACGTCCGGCCCTTCATCCCCCTCCCTGTCGGCGCGCGCGCCGGCGGGGCAGTGCTGCAGCAGGAAGTTGTAGTCGGAGGCCAGCCAGGTGGTCTCGTTCCAGGTGAAGAGGTGGGCGTCGGCGGGGCCCCAGCCCATGTCTTGGAGGAGGTCCAGCTTGATGTTCACCTGGGCCACCATCTCCACGAAGCAAGGCTGGGGGACGGCCAGCAGGGGCACCCTGGGGCTGACGAAGGGCGTCTCCCCGTTGACGCTGACGACCGCCAGCCATATGATGCCTGCCTCCGTGCCCGTCAGCTCCACGCTGCGAGACAAGGGACCATGTCCTTTCAACTCTTCCCATCGATTTCACGCATGGCAGGATGGCAATCGCCGCACTGTTTGGGCCACTTTCGGCCCCAAAAGGGCGATACTCGAGAGCGCAAGCAAGTATCACAGGTTCGACAGAGTGCCCAGCCCATTTGAAGAACGCCTTTCGGGCAAGGCTTGCACTGCCGCTGAACTGGAACGAAGTGGCTGCCTGGCCAACACGATGGGCAACAATGACGACTTGCCAAACGCCATCAGCATCCCTGGGGACTGTGTGTGCAAATCGCTGTTCCCAATGATTGCCCAGCGTCACCCCGTGCCAGGGCCGCCTGGGAGGCTGAGTCGGGCTGCCTGATGAGGAGCGCGACCAATACAATGGACGGCGTGGACAACGCGGGGAAGGCAACCCCAATTTGGCGAGACTCGTCAAGAAACCTGTTGGGAAAACCTGGAAATAGCGACCAGTTGCTACAGAAGTTTTCGCGTGGGGCCCCCTTGCCATTCCCATTCCTGCTGCACCACCGGCTCGGCAGGCCCATGCACATACGACGAATCCTGCATCAAATCTGGGCGTCAGCGTCCCCGTCAGCGCCTCCCAGCTATGCGCCCTGCTGGCCGGCCACCGTTCCTGCGCCTGACTCCGTCCTGGCACACGTCCTGGCCACGTACGTTGGTGGCCGCGCCGGGCGGGCACCGGCGTCCGGGGCGCAACGGACCCCCCCCGAGGGCGGTGTCCGTCTGGCTAATCTCGGCCAGCGCGCAGCCAGCGCGCGCTCACGCAACGCAACCGGTCGCGGACGCCTCGCTCCCAGGCTACCCCCGCGTGCCGCGCAAGCCGCCCGCGAGGTCGGCGGCCGGGCCCGCGCCTCCCTGGCCGCAATGCGCCCCTCGATCGGCGCCCGATCGCCCATCATCCCCCCGACCCGCCACGGAGCCGCCCCGCCGGGCGCTCTTGGTTTGAAGGCGTGCCGCCGCACGGCATGGCCGGCGGAACGCCGAAAATGCGCGCCCCGCCCGCCGATGCGCGTCCGTTCGAGAGCGCGATCGGGGATCGGCGATCGGGCCACGGGTGGTCCGCCCCGTACCTGGCGCCCGTCTCGCCGCCGGTGGCGCGCAGCGGGAAGTACTCCCCGCTCTCCAGGCTGGGGCCATTGACGACCAGCGCTCTGGACGTCGCCTCCCTCGGCAGGTTGATATGGACCGTCACCTTGGTGGCCACGCCCACGGCCAGGCACGGCGGCCACACGCGCACCACGCCCGCCGCCGGGCGTCCCCACCCCTCTCCACCCTCGACGTCCGTCATGCTACGCGCCCGCGATGCGCCGATCAGCCAGCCGGCCGGACGAGCGGAGCGGGATGCGATCGACCGGCGGGTGGGCTTTCCCTGGGGGTGGCCGGGTTGGGCGGAGCATGAGGCGCGTGGCCGGGGGGTGGGGGCGGGACGCGCAGGGAAGTGCTTCCCCAGGTCGTCCCAGAAGGGGCTTTCTTGGGGCGCCAGAAACTGCCAACCAGCCTGACGGGGCCGGGGAAGGTGTGGGCAGGGACAATGTGGGGCCAGGTGGGGCGCCGACGGGTTAGTAAGCTGCACCGCCGGGCGGGGGGGGGCACATCCCGGCAGGGGTGAGCGGAGTTATTTGCGCCGTCAGCGGCCCTGCGGCTTTGCCGCTGCGCCGGCGGTGGGGGACAGCCACTCAGGTGCCTGCTCAAGCACCTGGTCAGGCGTCGGTAGCGGCGAAAGTGTCCGTGAGGGGGCGCCCGGGCGCGCGGAAGGACCGCCTGGCCGCTGTTGGCGCCGAGGATTGATTATCGGGTCGGCGCATTCGCGCCTGTCGCGAGGACAGAGGCGGAATTCGGATCTCCGGCGCGCTCGTCGGGGCAAGGAAACAAAAGCGGAGGAGGATAAAAATGAATGCGCCGTGTCGTTCACGCGCTGCGTCGCCGATGGCGCAGCCAGTGCTTCCCAGATAGGTCAACCCCATGCCGTGTTGATCAGTCCTCAAGAGGGGGGCTTCTTGTGCATTGCAAGGCGTCGGAGTCCGTCCGAGCACCGCGTCGCGACGCCGAACGGTCGCGCGGCCTCCGGCAAGCTTGCCATATTGATTTCAGTGGAGTTGGGGCCAATTGCTGAACAGCGTGAGCGGGCAACTTCGAGGCCCAACTGGGGCCAGATCGGCGATCATCGAGTTCTTATATGTGGCCTCATCAGCCTTCTGGCCCTTCCCGCCCCCTGCAGGATCGCTCCTGGACCGTCGGACGGGCTTCCCTTGCAGCGCCAGCACGCCGCGGCCTGGCACCCCTTATCAGACGGTCAAGCGGGCACCCGATAAGGAGAAGGGGCGAGTACGTGGCGCATGTGTGACGCTTTCTGGGACTCGCTTGGCAGTACGTTGCCCCTGGGAAACTGGGAAGGGATAGGGTGGATGTACGGTTCCGGCAGCCAGACAGCATCAGGGATTCCGCCGATCACAGAAGCAGGCATTGTGTCGGGGCAGGTGTTTTCTTGCGGGCTGGCCGATTTGAGCCGAGGCACATGCTTTGCCACGGGGGGCGCTCTGCCGGTCAGAGGTATCGTTTCAAAGGGTGCTCTGGTGTGCACCCAGGTGCAGCCAGCACGACTGGTCCAACACAGGTTGCCCCTTTTGGCATTGCGAGTGACTGTTGGCCAGTAATCTGGTACTTGGACGAAAGCCAACCACACCTGCACACTTCCCGTTGAGATCCATCCGCAGCTTACAGTCGTTGCAGACAGATGATTTGGCATTCGAAATGAAGTTTAGCACAATTCAAGGAATGTTGTGCCGACTGAAACAAAAGCGTTCGGGTCACCAATAAATGGAGCCTATCTAAATGAATAGTCGTTGTCATGCCACATGAGTCGTTATGCGAATACTACAATGCTGGTGCCCCGTGGGGCCTAGGATTCCACGCCGGCATGGCCTCGGTCAACAGTTTGCAAATAGACCAGAGGGATAACCCTCAAGCAACTTGCCAAGAGGCCACAAGGAACCCACAGGGGCCGTCAGGGCCCAGATGTACGCCAACAAGTGAACAACTGCCACGTAATCCCGCCCAGCTCTTCACCCACTGTGCGGAAAGCACTCAAGAAGCACCATGGTTTGTGAGGTGATCTCTGTGGATTTCCATTGTTGTTGTACTTTTGCGGTTATAGTCATACTTCCCTGCAAGGCCCCGAGCCCCAGTTCCGCTAATTTATGGTTGTTTGGCGGACAGCAGCATGGACCGCTAAATAGCTGACGGTACAGCCGACCTCTCGGAGGTCTGACCATGGCGAGGCCACGATCTTAGCAAAAGTCAATTACTTATCCGATTATTTGACGTGTCAATATGCGTTGTACACACACTATTATTATATTCCAATAGCAAACGGCCCCGAGCTGTCTTTTGTCAATACTGGTCCTTGCGTGCGGAAAAAAAAATGAGCACTAGTTCCTTAGTGCGGATTTGTGCGCGCCATGGGCTCCAACTCCAATGCAAGCAATTGCAGATGCCACCATGCTTCTCTCATGCTACTGTGGTTTCGGGGGAGCCGTCACATGTGCAGGGGGTTGCCTTACCTCCTGTAATGAGCTCGAGTTGAGAATCTTCTATGCAAATGTAGCAATTGAAAACGCACATCCGTAATAAGGAGCCAGGCATAACATATTCTCCGTCGTCATTGTTCATTCGTTGTCTTCCTCCTCGTCAATCAGATTTAGGGCGTGGCCCTATGATGAGATGGCAATGGCCCCCCAGCGTTCTCCCAGCTTCGTCAAGTCCTCTTCACCAGGTCACTGGAGTGACAACAACAAACAAAGCGCAACCACGCAATCTTCCGCGTGCGCTGGACAGCACTTACAGTACTTCACAGAAAGTCCTCACCAGCTCAAGCAGGGGTTCTCAGATAGACCAATCGGCCCTTGGTCAATAAGCCCTGCGAGGTGTCATTGGGGTCCTCGACAAGCAGCCTACCTGCGCGCAGCAAGTGTGAGAACCTTGGGCCTCGTGAGCCGAGAGCACGGGGCAGCCATGGGCGCCCCTCCGCGGCTGCCGCTTCTGCTCGCATCGACTTTGGCGTGGCTGCTGCTGTCCGCGTCCGCGCGGCCAGGTGAGGCGACCAAGGACTCGCCTCCAGCTGCCAACGCGGAGGGTCTGATTCGCTTCTGGGGTCCGAGGGGGGGACGTGGGTGAAGTGATCAGCCACCCGTTTGTGTTGCCGATCGGGCTGACTGGGCATGGCTGTGCGGGCGAGGTGTCGTTGTTGCCTCAGGCAGTTTCATCGAGTTGCCAAAGCGCTGGGCCGCCTGCGGCATGCGGCAGAGGTGGTTTCCCTTGCAATGTTTTGCGCGACTCGATCGGCTCCCGCTCGATCTGGCAGAAAGTCCAGGCTGGCGCGCGATGGCGTCTGCGGCGCTGCGTCGATCGACATGGGCCCTGTCGGACGGGAGGGGGCCGAATAGACGATGTGCCTGGGATGCCGACTGCAGCGGCGAGCGAGCGGGGCGCGGTGCCGGGTCGGTGGGGGGGTGAAGGAAGTTCGCTCGGGGGCGCCGTTTTGAATGGACGCTTGAGAATGTTTCCTGCAGCTTCCGGTCTGAGGGCGAAATGTGTGATATGTGCGCTCATCGGCTGTTTCTTGGCCTATCCTCCACGGTGCACTTTACTCTTGTGATCTGTTCTCAGCAGAGGGTTCTGAGGCTGTGATATGCATGAAAGGTCGTGACTGGTTGCTGTCGGCGATTCAGGAGCGTCGGACCGGAACTTTGAGCGCTCTGGTGTGAGGGAGCTCCTGCGTGAGTACCCTGTTGGTTGCCGCCGTTTTCGGGCGTTTGAGATTCAGCTTGTGGCGCTGTCCCTCAGGGCCTCCAAGGGATTTGTGACAACCATCACTTGCGGACGTATGCTTGGCGAATTGGGAAATATGATGCTAATGTGACTTGGAGGGCTTACTGCCCATTTCCGCCGTAGCTGTATGAATATTCGTCAGGGCACCACAGCAGCAATAAAAGCAGCAACACTGTGGAAGTCACTCAATACCAAGATTCAGCACGGATTGCCTTGAAGCGAATCAAGCGGATGTCCTGCACGGTCAGAAGGGTAGTGGGCCCATGTGCGGTTGCATTTCTTGCTTCCTGTGCTTGTCTCCATCGCCTTGTTAGAATACACTGATTAAGTCTTGATCACAGGAAACGGAATGCAAAAGCTACTAGCAGAAGGTTGCAGTGTGTTGGAACACTATCGAATTAACTGGTGCTGGTATTCCAAAGCAGCCCCTGGAACCCATGGAAGCAAACAAAGGTGTAAATGGTGCAAATGTGTAGACACAGTCTCAGTGTCAAAATCTGGTCTCCTGAGGTCTGAATACTGAGCCTGAATTCAAAGCCTACAGGAAACTGCCTAGTAGCCACACAGTACATCAGGGTGTATTGCCACAGCCCTCCAATGTCTGCTTATTCACTTGTGCTGGGACACTGTTTGCCAACTGCACACAGAAGCAAAACGCCTTTGATGTGAGTACCCACCAATGTGCACATTTAATGAGGGTTTCATGAGCAAAGCAAGAAATGGGACAGATTTTTGACTGCTCCTAAACTGGACGTTGCTATTGCGAGCACAATTAAAACAACAGGGAGTGGGTGGGGTGGGGTGGGGGTGGGGGATCCCTTTGAGTGCGGACCGATCTTGGTATGAATTCTTTTGCCCAGAGGATGAGGAGCCAGAGCCTTGCCTTTTCCTGAATGGGAGGATTATTCCTCCATGCCCCCAGTTGGACGAACTGCTTTCCACGCCAGATACTACACCGCCAAAGATGGCTTCGCCCTCCCCTCAAGCGCCCAAGCCACCTGCTCCCTCTCCACCCCCCACCAAGTCACCTGCTCCCTCTCCAACTCCCGCCAAGTCGCCTGCACCCTCTCCAAGTCCGAAACCATCGCCTTCACCAAAGGCGTCGCCTTCACCAAAGGCATCGCCTTCACCGAAGCCATCGCCCTCTCCAAAGCCATCATCTTCGCCGAAACCATCGCCTTCACCAAAGGCATCGCCTTCGCCAAAGCCCCCAGCAGAAATGGTAATGACCAACATAACAGGTAAGAAACTGTCGAGAATGTGCAATATCTGTGCTTATACAGGCAGCTTCTGCAGCTGTTGAGTTCTTGCGGGCCATGAACTTCAGTGCGTTGGGGCCCCAGGCTACAAGGTTTCTTGGACAGAGCATATTGTGGTTGTTAAATTTATCAAATGACTGAACAGAGCACTGCCTTGGACCCTTTAGGTGATGTCATGCACTGCGCACAGCTAAAGGAATGCTAAGGTTGTGTGACATGTTTCACAACTGTGCACAGTGCTGGTTAGGACAACCGTATCAGTTGATGATTTCAGGCTGTGCTGTGCAGCACACACATTGTACACATAACACTGTACACCATTGTCAGTTTTCATCGAGAAGATGAGCATGTGATGAGCGGTTGCATAGCTCTTGGTTTTACCTTGTTGATCTCCAGCTGTTGGCCATCCACTGAGCGTTGTGTGTGTGTGTGTGTGTGTGTGTGTGCTGCAGCTGTCCTTGACAACTGCAGATTCAATGGTTCCCTGGTTGCAACACAAGCTGCAGTTGAGGGTTGCACTGTAGTTGAAGAGGAATGCATGCCAACAAAGCTCACTGCATTTTCTTCAGTCGATGAAAACATGACAGGTGGGAGAAATGAAGTGGACACGATGGCAGGCCTCATTGAGTGTGCCCAATGGTGCTTTGGTGTTTTCAGTATTGAGATGCGAAGTGGCAATAGTCCAAGGGCCTCAGACCACTGCTGGTTGTGGTATTTGCCTGAGAACTGCCCACCATTGACCATCCAGTATGCTCAGCACGCCTGATAGTATAGACAATGGATTCTGCGGCTGTTGATGGAAACACTGCATGTTATTCTGTGCAAGCGCAGGCGGCCTGTTTGTATGGCACAGAGCAGAAAATGTGCTGATTTAAGCAAAGTGGCTAAACATGGCCTTGCAGGGGATTGCTTTGCAGAGAGTAAGGTCACACTCCGGTAGCCGCAAGCATGGCAATGTTATTCCTGTCTGTTGCAGCTGTTCGCTGTTCTACAATGGGCATTCAGTTTGCCGCGGCATGTCAACACCTAAGCAGTGCTCAACAGAAAATCATGTGTTTATCACTAGCTCGCTGCTGATTCGGTATTTGCCACAGGCACTGACTGCATATCATGCATTCCCCGTGAATGGCTTGCAGGGGGTACATACGATTCGGAGCCAACTGACCTTGTATCGCACACTGTCGTAGCTGGTAAACTGCCACTCTCTGAATGATGCAGTTTGAGTACAGGAGCCTTGTTTGTGCAACCCTTTGGCTCAGTGGGGTAACTGGTAGCTCCTTATCTCGAAACGCTTTTCAGTGTTCGTCACTGTGCGTGTGTGTGTGTTTTGTGCAGCCATGGCTGTCAACAAAATCGTTGAGCAGGCGTGCAGAACTGAGGCGATCGCCACCTGTTCGAAAATGGCTTTCACATTCGTGCCCCCGGACTGCAAGGAGCTCCTGGAAAACGGGCCAGCCGAGCCACAGGACGTGTGTGCAGGAGTGCGGCAAGCCAATGAGATCTTCGAGTCGACTGTCAGCCTCTTTTGTGAGGAGGAGTTCACTCCCGAGGAAGAGGGAAATTGAGTCGTAGAGGGCGCCCATGGCACAGATGCACCAATCCATGATTCCAATCCCTTCCAGATTCTTTTTTTATCCAGGTCTGCAGGATGATGCTGGCTCTGCAAGAATTCGTGCACAGCAGCGGCTGCGCTCTTCGCTGTAATGGCGCTTAGGTGGTGCTCACCAAGGGTGTGACGAAGAATAGGCTTGGGGGATTGTCTCGGTTGCCGCAACGACCGGGCCATGGAGCACCTATTGCTGTGCTGGTACTGATTATTGGCTACCCATGACCTGTATGGCTGCAAGGATGCCGTCACCCACGGGACAATTTGAGGACGGGAATTGTTGGCGAACATACGATAATGGGGAATGCGACGTGCTGAGCGCACTCTCTTGTGCCGCACCGCCGTCCGGGAGCTGTGTGATGCAACGTGTTAGTCCGAGATTTGCCAATGCACTCATCGCCACCGTAACCGGCACCAATTCAAGCACCAAAAACCACGGTGAGCTGGAGTCGCACAGTCTTGTGTCCCAGCCCGCTCCCACACCCTCAAGAAAAGCAATGTCTGTGGGAACCTGCAGTGGCCTGCTTTGAACGCAGTGGCCCAAGTTTTCCTGCAATTGCGTATCGTGGAAGGAACGCCATCCATGTGGGCCCCCCTTCACGCATCAGGGCGCCCAGGCATAGGCGCAGGGACTCCAACCGCCGTTTCACTGGCACTCGGCAGATGCGCGGACCCCAGTTGTGGCCAAACAGTGATGCTGTTGACGGGGATAAGGGAGAAACGCACTGCGGTTGCGCCACCCACCTGTGCGGTCGACACCTGGCGCCCAACACGCGTGGTAATCAAATTCGGGAATCCCTGAGCTGTTGCAGGCATATGCTTGGATGAAAGCCAGGAAGCTGGGCAAGTGGTTCCAAATTCTGGCGACCAGGGATGAAAAAACACGCAAGCAAGCCGTGCCCCCCTAGCAGTTTCGGCAAAAATACCATTCTCAGCAGTTTGGTGCCACCCGACCCGCCTGTGAATGTCACGGTTGGCGATTGGAGCTGGGGGCGGACCCCATGCACACTGATAAAGAATGATGAGTGCGTTTGTGCCCCACACACGTGCAACAGAATAATGGACTTCCCACAACCCCACAGACCCCAAACCTCGATTGCGCCCAGTCCACACGCAAGAGAATGAATGAATGAATGTTCCAGATAACCCAATGGGCGGCGAGACGGCTGATAGCCCCGGCGACAAGGTGCTATCACGCGTCGACACACCGTGCGAGGAGGGCACCAGTACGAGGCCACCTACGCCCTGTCAATGATCAACAGACCTGCGCGGTTCAGTTCCAAAACACGCAACAAACCTCACAACACATGCACGCACCCACACAACACACAGTCCCATGCTGAAAAAACCCAAGTACCACGGGGATCGTGCTACCAAATGACATAGGTGTTACCTGGAGCAGCTGGTGTGCGCCTGGGATGTCGTTCAGACACAAGGCCGGAGGGGCTTCGCCGCAGGGCTCGTATGGGCAGCACCACAGCACGCAGCATGGGACGGTGGCCGCCAGACAAAAGATGGCTCCAGGAAGGATGAGTAGGGGGGCCCCAAAGAGGAAGTGAATGAGGAGGAGGGACACGCCAAAGGCAAGGAAGATTGCGTGGGCCCCAACCAGGCCCCTGTTGCCGTGTCGTTTCCACACCAGAAAAGGGGCCCGAGCTGCTGGGATCTCCTCCTGGACTGGGGGCTCCGCCGCGAAGTCAGCCATTCCTGCAGGGGAGGAGCTGCCAGGTCCCTTGGCGGCGCTTTTTGTTCGGATCTGCGGAAAAGAAATGGGTTCATGAATATTGAGGCCCGAACGCAGAAGTGCTGTTGCGGAAATTTAATGCACACTGCATGTCATTGTAAGGCAACTGCTCAAGATAACACAAGCTGATGCGAACCAGTTTCCGCGAATTCGGTTCTTTAACATGGCAGAGATAGTTTGACCTCGGCACCTGCCTTCTTGATATGCACTTCCTCTATCGGGAATTAAACGTCGCCTTTTGAATGTGCCAAGAAGGAAGTCAAATGTCAAGTACAACGCCATAGTGAGAAAGAACAGGTCTCGAAACCATAGCAACCACCTTTTCCCCCATTAAATGCAGTCGTGTAATTCATTGTGGATGCCTCCAAGTGCGCTACCCTTTGATATCGTTGGTTCACGTAACCCATTGGCGTCATCGTTTCTATCGCACGGCGCTGCCAGCGTCTTAGCAGCTTTGCTAGTTTAAAGCAACCGCCGTCACGCAGATTTTTAGGGGCACCGGCAACTCCACCCCCCTCACAACAAGGCGAGCTTCGGAAGGGGGCCCACGCTGTGGTTGGCAGCCTCGGCGATACCTTGGGAACTTTTAAATTCCCGGCATGAGTAGAGTGGCTTCGAAGTGCTAGTACATGATCTGCGCTTTCTGGTCACTGCAAAAAATTTGAGGACATTCAGCAGACTCACAGATAATGCCCTGACTCAAACCTCGGAAAGAGACCCAAAGGTTCTCGATACCGCTGCCGACTTCCAAACAGTAGGCGACATTGAATTTCGGACAGAGGGAGCAGAGCGCTGTCACTCATGTACTGCAACTCGGCGCCCCTGGTGTTGCCGTGATGGGGCGGTTGACTCCAACCATGAACCTTCATAATATCGCACAAAACAATTCACCAACACTCCTTCCTCGACAGAGATACAAAGCTGGTGGCTGTCTCCTTGCCTGGAGTGCAGTGTTTGTTGACTGTAGCCGCGGCGATTATTGACCAATGGTGGGGCACCAGTCGTTGGCCGAGCACCGATTCCGCCCTGGTTCGTTGACCGCTCGATAACTGTCCGCCACTCGCAGCTGTGCCCTCGCTACCCTGACCTCCAATCCGGGGTGCGGAGGAGGGCGAGGAAGGCAGCGTGCACGGGGTGCCATGTTTCAAAGACAGAAAAGCCGAGGCGCAATTGCTCTCCAGACTTGGACAACATCATGAGCAGACCAGGGTTCTGACCTCATCAAGATCCCTTTGCGCTTGATGGACTGAAGCAGCATGCTTCACTGCAACCCTGAATGCGTGCGGCAGCGTTAGCGGTGCCAACGCGGCCAGGTCAGCCAAGACACCACTCGGCCATCATTGCAGGCGGCCACGAAGCCGAAGGCGCATGTTGACTGATGGCGATTGACCGCGGCGAGAGAAGGCCACCAGACATCGATGTGGTGGATGGGCGCCGTATTGGTGTTCCCACTGGTTTGCAATGTCTCCAGGTGGCCGGCCAAAGGCCATGCCCGTGGTGATCCAAGCATTTACAACAATTTTATTGTGGACAGCATATTTGAGCTCGTCTCCTGCCCCATGGTCTCCGTGCATCTCGACCGCAGCCGACGAAGTGCGGCCACCGAGAGCGGACCATGAGGCGCCCAGAACCAGTCGCAAATCAACTTCGATCTCAGGCATCAATTGACGTCAAAACACCCAATTCACAGCAACACAGGAACAGGCACGTGCTTGCTGAGGGGCATCGTGTGCCGAATTTCAGTCGGAAATCAGCAGTGCGTTCCTCCAGCTCCGCCAGGTACTAATCATCTACTTCTGCCCATCCCGCACCGTCGACTGCACGCGTCCAGGCTCCATTGGCATCGATCAAACCCTGGGACCACCGCTGCATGGCGGTGCTAAATGATGGCACCCGCAACGCGCGTCTGGTCGGCCAGCCATTGGCCTGAGGGCGTCCTCAAACGTCTCAAATTGAAACTCGCGTGTGCGCTCCATGCGTTGCTCTATGTGAGCTGAAGGAGGGCCTCACCACCTGGGTGTGAATAGGCACAACGCCCATCACTGGCTCCGTTTACCTCGCAGTCCAGCAATTGAATGCTCCGCAGTTCGCAATTGCGAAACTCCTGCACAAGCTCGTCTCGTGCCGTCGTTCCGTATTTCTCGCGTAGATCTTTCTCGAAGCATTGGGACAAGATGCGCAGGAAGGCGGCGTGAGTGACTACGGCAATGTGCCGCTCTGGCCTGTAGCAAATCCGACACGAAAATGCGCATTCTCATTGAATCGCGTTTACCAACACACAGGCAATCACTGTCCTTTCACATACGAGGCGATGTCTGCACAGCTACAACAGATATTCCATATGCATTCTTGTTGCCAGTCCCACGCGATGCCTGATGTGACAAAAAGTTGATTGACGTCCCATTGGTCGCGGAATACCATTGCCATTGCTTGCGAATTGGCAACATGCGGAAAGTAAGTAAATGTACTGTATGTACTATAATATGTTATTAGGTAAATGTATCATTACATTGTGTGCGTAAAGTAGCGCTGCTTGTTTGAGACAATGGCACCAGCGGCTTCCACACCAAAACACAAAATTCAGTGACACATAGAAATCGTGATATCTCCAAGTGGTGGCAGCAACAGTCACACAATCACACTCGTGTGTTCAGTGGTGGATCGATATACTAACCTTTCCTGCACCCACTTTAGGAAGGTCCACACTCGATCGACCACTGAATAGTTAGGCTCCCTACTCATCGGGTCGTACAGTGTGTCACTGTCGGATTCCACCTGCCAATCACATCAAAATTCAGTTGCTACAGGGTGCTGCGTCCTGCAGATCTAGACATGCAGCCCTGTGCCTCGAACACGTACAGGTACCGGCCCCGCACAGTTGCCTTGCAAGTTCCGCTTGATCGGTTTTCCTCCCCAGGGATGTGTTGCTGCTACTAAGATTCTTTGGTTGCTGCAAACAAATAGCATTACAGCAGTTCTTGTAGATCCTAATGTAGCTCCAGTGCCAACTGGGCCAGCTGTCCACCCCAGAAACAAAACACACAGAACATCACTACATGGTGGTGGTGACAATTGGACAGCAGGGCAGGGGAAGCACAATAGAAACCGCACCCACATGCGACACTATAGCTGAGTTCAGACATAAAAGGTTACAGCTGAGTTCTGACAACCAGGGCTGAGTTCGCCGCAGAGGCAGCCAGGCACAGCGCCCATATGGGCGCCAACGCAGTGGCAACACTATGGGTGCTGACACATGGAGGAAACGCATGAACTAGCATGGTCTTGACCCAATGCAGCACACAAGGTCACAAATCCGCGCATAGTTGTTCCATAATGGTATTGAGAACTTTCGAACGCTGACTGCATTCAAGGGCATGTGGGCAGTGTGTGTGTTGCCTTACGCAGCCAAGGCCAGTGATCTGTTGTGCACTGTGCGACGCAGCAGTGAAGGAACTCTCCCCCTTCCCCTTCCCAGGCAGTTCCGCACCAGTGAGAAGTCGATGGAAGGAAACTGGTGCTGGTAGTACGACACAGTCCGTCTGTGGTCGCAAGGGTGAAGGCCAGTTTGCTCTCGGCAGGCCTGAACAGCAACGAACAGTCAGCAGACAGTGGAGCCAAATGTTCAATGGACCCAAACATCGGCATAAGGCTGGTTCTGTCAAGCCCCAGAAAAAGCAGTCCACCCACCTCGTGTGCGATGAATGGCACTGAACTTTGTGCCACTATGGCCTTCTGCTCTGTCCGCACACCCTGACAAGGCACACATCAACAACGACCCAATCAAGTCAGCCAGCAGACATGCCCTTCGATGCCATGTGGAATGCGGTCAAACAGGAAATGGCACTGGCACATAAGCAAAGGATGGCAGCACAGTGCACATGGCTGGGGAAACCACTGTGGATGGCAGGGTGCCCACCATTGCCTTGCAGGGACAAAGTTGTGTCCGATTCTGACACATTCGATCAGGCAAATCAACCAGAGCAGGACAAAGGCACTACCTCCTGTTCAGACTGTGCCCGCATAAGCAACTTGTGGCCATCAGCAACATCCACTGTGTCACCCCCAAACAGGCCCACGGCCGTCTCCAGCGTCCTTGTCATGGGCGAGACAACAACAACATCCACTTGGAAGTGGGTAGGCAGCTTAGCAATATGATTCCGAAGTCCTGCCACCTTCGTACACGATCCGCACAAAATGCTTCAAGTACACAGGCATTTGAACAAGGCATTGAGAATGGAGTCGTTACAAGTGAAACCATTACCAGAAGCATGCAACCCATATGCCAACTATGGTTTGCAGGACTATTTGGAGTAAGTTCAGCAAATATTCATTGCGGGAACAAACAATTGGGGACATAAATAGCATACCCAAAAGCCACAAGGGTACAAAGGCAGTTCAGGGCATAATTTGAAATGCAAATATTGCTGATCTGCACAACCAGACAGCCTCCCAAAGGAGGTTTGCAAGCAGCTAGAGCTACCCTGTGGTTGGGTGCAATATTGTCATGGCTCCACTGTCCACCTGTTGCCAACCTCTCCTTGTCAGATGTGCATCGTTGTATTTCTCACTGAGGTAATTGTCTGGATTTTCGGCACCCGCAACATTGTGGAAACCTTGTGCATGACGGATGAGATGCAGCACCTGCCAGCAAAATAATGGTGTGTAAGTTCCTCACAATGTGTTCCAACGTTGTTTAGAGAACAAACCGAAATTTGAGATTTGTACCGCATTCAAGTCGTCCAACAAGGATTCTGATATCATTTGGGAGTGAACCTGGCACTGTGAATTCTGGGAATCAAGGATTGCAGTGAACAGACTCTGCTGGTAATGTTGCTAACATGCTCTGTTGGGTGCAGATTGGCCAGAAGGTCTTTTGTGCTGCTCTGCACCATCTGCACATGTCCAGTGGCTCATCCTTTGATTTTGGTTGTTGTATTTGGATCAACAGCTGTCAGGCTGTCTGCAGCTCAACAATCTCCACAGTGTTGCTATGTTGCTATGACAATTTCTTGCACAGCAGCACAGCGCACACTCTTAGCAATCTCTACACCGGAAACAATGAATGTTTAACCAACCAAGATCATCAAGCAGACAGTTGCTGTCACCTTGTCCTGCACTGATGGCAATCGCAAGATTCCAAGAAGCAAATTGAAGTTATGGCTGCAGCAGTTATCCTGTCATGAACTGTTACACCCAATGGCAAAAAGCAGGATGCAGAATATTCTGTGCACCAGCCATGTATCTCCAAACAGAGGTACGAATCCTACCCCAAAGGACTTGTGTGTTCAGTGTGTGGTTGCATGTTGAAATAACACGTAGACCATCCAAAGGTCCCTGGTTTCTGCAGTGTGGGATAGCAGGTGCGTTGGGACACTAAGAATAGTAGCAGCACTGGATGGGCAAAAACAATTTCTGAACATACCCAACCAGCTTGCTTTGTGAGGGCGACAGTGCTCTATAACAAGGGCCTGATTTTCATGGCACTGAAGCCCAGCACAGTCTTTGGCAAAGTTGGCCCGTTTTGCCACACGATATTTGCAGTGCAGTCACAGTGCGAAACATCCTGATGAGCACGCCCAAAAGAAGGCATGCAAGACCACAACAGCAAAGAGTCATCAAACTGACGGTTGTGCTGGAGAATGTGTACAAAATGTTACTACTGCCAACATTATATTGCTCAAGGCAACGGTGCAGCCACCTACCAGGACGCGTTTTGAAATCCCACTTGCCACATATCAGGCAGCTTATTAAACTGTTCAGTGACATTGGTTACTGTGGAAAGCAGCCACTGGGGACGACACAAGTCCTTTTAAAGGACTGTTGAAGCTTGGTGTACGAACTGTAGTGCTGAGTTCAAGCGCTACTTCGCACATAATTCGCGCGCTTTGGATATAGAGAGCAATGGCATGGACTGAGTTGATCGAATCATCGGAACTCTGGAATGCTGGGAGCGAGATGTCCAAAAGAGCGAATGCGTTTTGCAGCATACAGGATATCGAAATAGCCAAGCACGCAAAGCGGCTGCACCGAACATAGTTGCGGACGGCGCACGACGACTTTGGTAGAAAATCGTGGGGACCTCCGCTCGCCTATTTATATGCCAACGGATGCTCCCGATTGGCAAGCCAGGCAGCGTTTCTATCGGCTGCGAACTGGGAGACGACTTTTAGCATCGAGTGCCCCACGACGCTTATCAGCCAGAACCAACATCCCTGCGCATGCAGTGGACGTGAGACGACGGCAGACCGCACAGGGAGTCGATCAAGCAAGTCGGGCTCCCTGCTGCGTTCGGTCGTGGACGGTGGGTCCTCGCGATTGCGACAAGCGGCAACCGCGGATCAGAGAACGAGTGGCGGGCGAGACGAATGCTGATGACGGCCTCAGGCGCACAATCAGCCCACGATCTCCTGGCAGATGAGACCAACGCGACACCACCTCCACGCCACGATTGAGAATGTACCCGCAGACCGGCCGGGAGCGTAGATCGCGCGTGCAAGCAGGCGATCTGTCGCGGTGCCTGGGGCGATGATCGGTGCGCAGCCACGCGCTCGGGGCCATTCGGTCACCTTGGTGTATCGCAGGGGGATGATGGACAGCTGCGGCCGCGTTGCGTTCATGTCCCCGCAGCTCGTCCCGGTGGCCTCGGCCGCTCCGTTCTGGGCTGGGCGGTCCATCCTCCGCTGTCTCGGGTCCGGGGCGCCTTCAGGGCCAGCGGAAGGTTGGGGGCATGTACGGAATCTGTCAGCCGTTCGATGCCCATCGTGTGGCTCAATGAGGGGGGTACGGTGGGAAAGGTGTGGGAACCAACGCTTGGCCGGTGATACGGTAGGTTGGGGGTGGGACCATGTGAGAGGCAGGCAGGCCCACGGGCTGGCAGACACAGCCAAGGGAAACACTGTTGCAGAGAGATCACGGACCGGCACGTTCCTTCATACTGCAGAAGTTGCCCCATCGCTCAGAAAATGGCGGCAGTCATGTTGAACAAAATGAGGAGGGCCAAGCCATTATAGACCATTCTGACCGCTCCTATAACTGAATTCATCTTCGTCTCATCAATTTTAAGCATCCAGGCCAGCCACCCAAGTAGGGTCACCAGGAGTTCCCCAATCCACTGGATGCCAGCGCCCAGGAACCTCACACCCCGCCCGACAGCTCCAGCCAACGCCGCCATGACGGCAGCTCCTTCCATGGGCGTTCCCGGAAAGCTCATATCAACCTCGCACCTCACCGCAGAGGTCTCCACCAGTTCCGTACGTCGCAACTCCCTCACAGCGTCCACCTGTTGCGCGTACCGGCCGATCCGCACTCCCGTAGGGTGCTACGGCACTCCAGCACCAGCGACGGCGCTCGCCTTGCGTAATGCGCCGCCCTCAGTCACTCCGGATCCCACGAACGTCTTACTCACCACTCAACGCGAGTGTGAGAAACGCCACAGAGCCTCGGGGCTCCTTAGGCCGGCTTGCGGACACACGGGTACCGCAAGAGGGCAAGACCAGTGGTTGGTCGAGCCGGCCGGGGGCTGTGGCGCGACGGCGGGGAGGTACAGGCGGCTGGGACACAGATTGTCACACAGAGGCCTGCCGGAGAGCTGCCTGGACAGACTCCCCGCGGCTTTTTATTACAGGAGTGTCTGTTTGGTACAGCTGTTATTCATTGGTTCATCGCTCTCGTCACCCTTCCGAGTCCACTCGCACTCCCGGACAAGAAAAGACCCAATCAGTCACACATTCCACGACAGTCCACCCCGTACAATCACATGCCAGCCAGACTCCCACACACTCCTCCTCCGCCAGGGATTCCCTTGGACAGCTCCAGACGCGCCAGCTGGCTTCAGGCGGCCTCCAGTCATCGCGTCATCCGCCAGCGTGCACCTCGTCCCGTCTAGAGGTGGCCACCCGGATCCGTTAATAGCGGACAGAAGTTAATTTCCGTTAATTAACGGAAAATAATGAAAAAATACAAAAATTAACCAAAAATTAACGGATTTTTGGATTTTTTGGGGATTTTTGGGTTTTAGTCATACTTATAGTTTATGGAATTCGCTATTAGAGAGTATGTTTGTATTTATTTCAACCTATGCATACTAGATTTTCAACTAGCCGCAGTTGTTGTGATTTTTTGGGTTTTTTTTCGATTTTTTTGGATTTTTTCGTTTTTTCTGAATTTTTCTCCCTTTTTCTTTAACGAAATTTAACGGACAGCTGATAAAAATTAACGAACCGGACTTAACGGACCGGATGGCACCTTTGAGTGGCCACCTCTAGTCCCGTCACGATCGCCGCCCCGTCTACCGAATTTCAGTAGTCCGCGCCCTTCAGCCACCGAATCCCGGCAGGAGCGATGGCGTCATCACCCTCTCGTTGCGCGTCCCATCAAAACCGGGTGGCAGGGCCGGTGTCATCACCTCGGCAGCGCCGATGGTTGCCGGTACCGTAGGTGGCTCCTCACTGGGCGCATCCACCATGACGTCATCCGGGGCTTGACCGCGCGCCCGCGCTTCCCGGCGCTGACGCCGGATGGCCCTCCGCCAGGCACGCTCCTCCGCGCGTACCTCGACGTCCGTGTACGGCGGTTTGCCCGCGTTGAGGCGTCGCTCCACGATCGCACTGGCTTCCGCGAAGACGGCCGAAGGCAAGACGGCGGCATTCGGCTCAGTTTGGATCCCGAAGTCCTTCCTCTCCCGCGGGAAGACCTCAGACGCTCGTGATGGGTGTGTCGCGGCGTATTCGCGGCGGGTCACGCCTCCACCTTCCATGCGCCAACACCTCGCGTCCGAAAACGGCACGCTGATGTCAAGGCTGATGTGTACCTCGCGCCTATAGTAATTCAGTTCAGCGCCTCGCTAGGTCTGGATTCGACCCCCCTCACGTTCGATCATCGCTGCGATCCGCTGCCGAAAGGCCTGCGTACCCATGCCGGTGTACGGCCGGTGCGGATGGGGGTGCACCTGGAGGGTCCAGGGGCGGTACACGGCCTCCGGATCGTAGTCAGGGTTCCAGTCCGGCTTCTCCCCTGGCCCTGGCCGATGGCCTGACGTCAGTTGCGTTGACTCCGTGTGCTCGTACGCCTCGCGCGCCTGCTCTTGCAACTGATAGCGTAAGGCATCCTCTCCATGATCCTGCTGGTGATGCAGCCACTGCGCGTCCTCAGCGCTGAACGGCAGGATGACGGTGAGCCCGAAGCTCCAGTACCCTTCCGGGCAGTCCGCCCTCTCGAGATACCATCTCGAGAGCCAGAGGTCGCCGAAGGCGAGCCACTGGGCGATCAGAAAGCGCCAGCTTTCGACCTGGCGGAATCGCGCTGCTGTCATGGCTGCCGGGAAACTGCCAACGAGCTGCCAGGCAGTGGGACTGGGAGGCGGGGCTCGCTGTGCAGGATGGTCAGAATGCAGGGGAGCGCTGCTGTGCGCTTTGGCCGTTTTGGAGGTCTTGGACGGTGTTTGGATGTCGGACTGGTCGCTTGACGGCTTGTGGGTGTGTGAGAGGATGTCGTTATCCCATGCGGGGCGTCAAAGTTGGACGGAACCTTGCATGTTGATGCGTAGTCGGTCATGTAGGGTAGTAAGACTGTATATTGGAACTGGTTCTGGAACTGTGATCGCTGAGCGGCTTGACTTTGCACA